TGAAGATTGCGCATTTTTAACCTTTTGCGGCCGCAGAAACCTCGGTAAAATTTTGGAAAACTTATGAAGCCAACTGAAAGCACCATGATAGCATGCGATTGAGAAGGGAACGGGTCTTGGATTAAATGAAAAGAAGACAAACAAGACTCAATATCTGCTACCAAGAAATGACCTGCGAAGTTCCATGGGGCGGTAGACTGCAGCTCGCATGCTGCATGGGACCCAAAGTGTTAGTGAATATGTAGTATATGGTTCCATCATTCATGGAGCTTTGATTGTATGGCGCCGCAGCAGATAAATTTTCCATCGAAACTCCCAAAATTCACTGGGATCATAAAGATTAGATGCTGTCCAGTAGGGCGCTTGCTCAGGGTCCAGTCACCAATTTTTCTGCGTAGCAGTAGTATTGTGTTAGTTGAGCAGGTGTTTCATTGCCTTTTTCCTACCCTGAGGAAAGCGGAGTTGAATTCAAATAAAGTGACATCACAACAATTTGTGAAGTGATAACGGTCAAGTCCTCCAATTAGTTTAGGTCATTAGAGCTAGCGGTGCTCGCATACTTGTTATAGGTTGGCTTAGATTTCGAATCTTCAAAGAGCAGTCAACTGATCCCCTCGGCCTGAACGGGAAAATTAGCACGTAACCCCTGCAGCACTTAAAGGCACAACCCAGGCAGAGGTCGTGTGAACGCTTCTCTTCGGTCTGTAGTATAGACCCCTAGAGGACAATCACAAATGTGGCGTTCCGTGCACGGAAACCAACCGACAAGAGCGCTTGGGCCTTGCAAAGTAAGCTGCCCAAGCTGCAGATTTTTTTCTCTTATCAGGCTGTTGTCTGGCTCTCTCATCTGTAGCGCTCTCTCGCCTCATACTCTCCTCTCCGCGCTTAGTCTCTCATTCCCTTAGCACAGCCGATTAGGAAGGTGAGTGAGCCCTTAACCTAAGCGTTTTCGACGGATTCTTTTCCTTTTTTCTTTACTGCCGGCCCATTTCGCACCAATACATTCGCATTCGTGTGCAAGAGCCACACCAATGTGATCCTGGGGCATGCCTTTAAAGCACAGTCCCAGCAGGGTGGGCGTGGTCGGAAACGATTGCAACCAGGGTCAACCCTATCGTTGTTACTCTTTGGAAATTTTTTACGACCCCCCCCCCTTCATGGGTGATTTGATACGACCCCCCTTGTATGTGACACTTGTGTAGAGACAGTGTTTACCATCAATATTTATTTCTACGTAAGTCATCAAAGATGAAACTTTAGCAAAATCCACGACAGATATTCATCGCTGCTTCCAAACACGAAAAAATGAGATGCATTCAAAGATATCCGTGTACTCCAAAGGGTTACCAAACTAGGAGATGAAATAAACTGAACCAGTGACCGGAATATTGACAATATTACCTGATAAAAACTTATGAGAAGTCAGAAAAAATTCGCTCCAATTGAAATACTGAAATCCTTCACGTTCTTCAATTGCAACACAATTTTTACACCCCTCTTTCTAAGGCTATAACTTCCTTCATATTCGAGCTTCTGCGCCGAAGTGATTTGATTTGGAAAATTCAAATTATTCTCTCTCCAACCATGGGTAAAAATTCTTCGAAAGTTAATTTAATAAAAATTTAGTACGTTGTTACTTTTTTCTGTGCAAAGCGACTTTTTGACCTTCAAATGATCATAACTTCCTTCAAAGTCATTCATTTGGGAAGCTGAACACGTATAATAAACTACAGGATTCAAGCTTTCTAACGAGCACCCAAGCGTTCCTGAAAGATCAGTAGTTCAAAAATTAGTCCCGTTGTTACTTTTTTGGGGGTTTGCGTTACTATTTTTTTGGAACCGCGACTTTTTTACCTTCAAACGATCATAACTTCCTTCAAAGTCATTCATTTGGGAAGCTGAACACGGTATAATAAACTACAGGTTTCAAGCTTTCTAACGAGCACCCAAGCGTTCCTGAAAGATCAGCAGTTCAAAAATTAGTCCCGTTGTTTTTTTTTGAGGGGTATTCTTCAAGCCATTTTCTCGAAAACGCGAGTTTTCTTAGGTTTCACTGCCCGTAACTTCTTGGAAGACCAATGTCATGTTTAACTTAGGATGTGCTAGAAAGCTTCGAGCATGCGCTTGCACTACATCCCTTGCCTTGGTGCGCGCCACGCCTCGGGCGCCCTTCTAATTCGCTGATTCATTTGAAAGCTCATTTAGAGGGAAGCGTGGTTTATAGATGCTCTAGTATCAGTCATCTTACAAAAACGTAACGTGCTGGCTAATTATCCGATATTACCAAGAATCCCACTTGTCGGCACGACAGAGGGTGACGGACCCCCCGCTCGAGCTCAAACTGGAAGGTACACCCCCGCTGTTGGTTACTCGTAACAGTAGGGTTGACCTGACGGCAACCCCTCGGCCGATTCGGCACTTCAGCTCGCTCTAGCGGACTTTCCGAGGCGGCTCAGTCACACTTCCTTACGTTCTTGACTAGGGGCTGAACAGCTCCGAAATGGGAATCGGCCGGAGGAGATTGCAGCCGTTTCCGAACACGCCCACCCTGCTGGGACTGTTGCTTTAAGAGAATTTTCCTACATCACAGGTAGGGTTACGAGCTCACCTCCTCCAGCAGCCATCGTTCACACAATTTCATTTTTCTCGATGCTTGCTCTGTTCCGAAATCAATAACAAGCCCTGAGCCGAAGACCATCCATCCTAGCCCGCATCCGACTATACCATGAGCAGGCACGGCTCAGTCAGGTGCGTAGCGCTCGCTGAGTGGCTGCAGCCACGGGAGATGAGTTTATGAACTATACGAATGAAGGAAATTCAATCGCTGTGGGCAGACGATGGATAGGCACTTAGTTACTGGTCAACAGCCAGTCCTGTAGAGCTGGCTTGAGGCTGAGTGTAGAGGGGTAGGATGGTACAGTGTGGAATGGCGCCACCCAAACGGGTGGAATATAAGCTCACCATCAATGAAATTACTGTTTCAGGACACTGGCGGATTTATTTCCAATCAGTATGTCAATAGATTGAAAGCAGAAATTCTCAAAAACGAATGTCTCGAAAACGTCACTGAAGCTCCCGAACACCATACACTCAACATACTGTCACTTAATGCGATGGTCCAACAAGGAGTCAAAAATGAAAACGAGTAAGCGTGGACTTTTCACTTATTTTTCATCTCAAGAGAGGCAGTCTTGTTCCCTATTTTTAACAGCTGTTCTATTTTGTTATACGTTCATATAATAAAAAAGCTGTCAAAGTTTGGAAGCTTTCCTATTTTTATTCTGGCGCGGCCAATGAACAACTAAGTTGTCGCACAACTACAGGTACCCAACAGGAGGCCCATCGTGCGCAAAAAGATCGCAGAGACCAAACGGGTCAGCGGACGAGTCACAACGTCTGTAGGGGGGAATGCGCGTCAAGTGTTAATATACCTTGTACCATGAACGCCCACATCACAGCCGGGCTCTCACTCGTTCACTTGACCGTTTCGATTCTGTTTATGGCGTGCGACGGGCGTTCGTGTCGGGTACGCCAAACGCGGTATAGCAAAGTCACGTGCCAGAAACACGATGCGTGTACAACAGTTCCCGGCGGCCTGAAAAATTTCTGAAAAATATGCACTGTTACGATTTATCTCATATTTTCTTAATGTTCACTGTTATTATTAAGTACATATTAATAAGCACAATTGCATTCACGTAACCAAGAACACAAACTTCTACAGGAGTGGTTGGGTTAATCCACTCCGGAAAGCGAGAAGAAAGCGCTTAGATTTAATCTTTCACGAAAAGTTCTATTGTCAATTTTTGAATTATAAGAGGGTCTAGCAAATGGGGCAAATAAAGAGACGAGCTCACACAACGGCCTCGCGTTGCAAAGACTAGCGGTTTCTCAAGAATTCGGGCGAATTCGTCTTGTCTTTCGAGAAGAATGATCAAGCAAGAACGCTTTTTTCGGGGGGTTCTTGTCTTTCGAGCGAGAATAAAAATATATATACTGCAGCACGAGCAGAATTCCTGCCTTCTTAAAATGATTTTGTAAACTCATATCAAGCGTCCGTCTAGAAAGAAACAGAATTTGGGGGTATCAGAGGTCAACAAAAATGGAGTGTTGGCAAGAGGAGGGGCGTTAGCACTCGGCGATGGTCCGCTTCTTACAAGGGAAGGATACCAGGTCGAAGTGGCCATTTGTAACGAGACATACACCACTAGATGTGTTTTTGGACGCTGATCTCGAATCTGCTCTCCAAATCTGCGGAACGATTCCTGAACGTAGTTATGAAGCGAGATAGTGCAGTGGCAGCGGCCCGGGCCGACGAGCAAGAGGTCGCGAGATCGTATTCTTGGCGAATTTCTCACTTTTGCTTTTCTTGAAAAACATTGTTTTAAGGAACTTTCTCATGCTAAGTCATCAGGGATTGCCTATCATACAGGTGGAAAGAGCTCGCGAAGTGCTTCGAACACTGTGCGCGTCATTTGCAAGTGACCGTCTCTGGCACCCGTAGCGCATGCGTCATGCACTTTCTTGCCAAGTAAGTGTGATTTCGTGTTCAGCGCATCTACCCCTTCCTCCAACTTTTGGTCCAAATCCAAAAATTTGAGCTAAGTCGAAAATGTGGCGACAACGACCGAACGGCAAATGGGCGCGCGCAGTGGGGGTCGAAGCTCGTTTTACAGCTCTTCCACTAGCGGATTGACGTCGACTGATTATTTGCTGCATATGATTTTATGATCCTCTTGAACAATTTTCAAGAAACAGGCGAGAACGCAAGAAGTTGATCTCCGGACTTCGTTATAGGCTCGCGCCGCACTGGCCACTATTCTCGCTTCATAACAACGTCGGAAGAGAATCGTTTTGCCAGGAATTTGGAAACAAATTCGAGATCAGGGTCTAAAAACACATTATTGGGTATATATTGTTGACTCGAGCTGGTTATCTTCCCTTGTTAGTGCCCAGCGAAATGTGTGGGCGGGCTAATTTTTTATGTGAATTGAAGAGCTACTACGTTGAATTCGCTTTGGTTCAATTATGGTACTCTACTTCGGGAAACTATGTCGCCCATCGTATTCTGCACTCGTTTGTATGAATATCGAAAAAACAAAACCTGCAAAACTGGTTCTGATCGCTACAGTATTAGGTTGTGGTTCTATCAATTAATGTAACTTTTTTCGCCTCATTACATTTGGGCTTGAGCTTGAAGCATTGAAATATACTTGCTACACGATCTAAGTAATCATAAATTGCCAAATTTTGATTGATTGGTGACCACAGAATTCGGGAATGACCACACTGGAAACAAACTAGAAACAGTGATAGCTTTTGAAGGCAACTGCGGCCCAAAGCGGGGATTACACGGAGGAAAACGGGTATAATCTAATATAGCTTTTCGGCTGCGGTTTACTTGCCAGTGTGCGGTAAAGACGGTGTCTAACATGTTAGTGCGTGGGAATGTGATAATGTAGATAAAGATTTCATCGAAGCTGAGTTTGGGGTGAAACGGTGCCCCGGTGCCCCGGTGGTGTAACTGGTAGCACAATTGCCCGGAAAGCAAGAGATCCGGGTACGAATCCCGCTGGGGCGAAAGTTTTGCCCACAACTCAGCATTTTGTGGTAACTTTCGCAATGCGAACTGAGCATAAAACAGCAGTTATCCTAACGAAAACGCGTCAACATGCACATCATGACTTCAACAGTGTTCAATAAACACTGAGCACAGTGAAATCATGCTGTAAGATCCACGTCTTGTGTATCCACTACCCAAAATGCTTTGACGTGAGGTGATAGTGCCGTGCTCACAAACCACTCTCGTTCCGCGGCTAATAAACTCAAAACAAACGCTCTGGTCGATGTGCAAAACGCTTGGTGTACATCATGCCTGGGAATACCGCAGTATGTGTGGTGACTTAGGCGGAAGGGTGGCGCCTTTCTGTTACGAGAGATGAGTATCTCTCTTTAAGAATGTATGAAGGTGGTTCAGTGGTTGGATACAAGATTTATCCTAATGGCACACAAGACACCCTGGTTCGGGCAGAACAGAAACCACAATGCCCTAAGCCCCGCCCCTAAGGAGCGGGGGTGACCGCGGGTTCTGGCCTGCGCCAGAACAGTATGGGAGCGTTTGGATACTGCTATGACTGCCATTAATCACCCGTTTGGAAATTCAGAAAACTCTGCTCGGCTTGTTTTCAGCTGGAAGGAAGCGCGACTGTTACACCGTGATCTGGGCATGAACTACGTCGACATCGTTGTCATGGTTTACCCAATTGCCAAAAGCAGTGACACAAAAAAGGTATGCAATTCATAATTCATTCATATTGATATTTTTGTAGAGAGGTACCAGGACCTTAGGACGTCATGGTTGATGTAATTCAGGTGAACTTCACAGCTCAGATGCGATTTCGAAACAGCTCGAGGGTAGGATTTGAACCGGTGGGGGCTCCATTCATTCACAAGCCAAATCACAGATGTCATACACATCGAGTGGACAAGTACTGTGAAATGTGTTACTACAACCGACTAGTGACTCCGTAATTTATTATGGTATTAAATGCTGGCTCTCCAAAAAAGTAACTTGGAGAGTGCCTACTTCTTTGAAAATTTCTACTGGAGGCAGTGCGAGGCCCCATCGCCCACTCACAGCGCACGCGGCGATGGTCATTCTTCGGTAGTTTTTTTTACTATACTCCTTAGAGATATTCTATTGAATTTGCTCGAATCATAATGCATTTGTAATCTTATGATCTGCTGCCATTTTGGTTTTTCCCTTCGAAATGAGAAGACCAGATGGCCAACAGGGAGTGCCGAATGTTGACCAAATCCTCCGTTTAGAGGCTTCATGTTGTTTTCTCTGATAATCAGAGACAGCAGTAGTCAATTTGTAGTAATCCATTATACATTTTGTTTAGTCCTTGAACTAGTCCACTAACTTGTTTTGTACGTCTTTTTTATCGTTGTTGAGCGGTCCAAATCGATATTTCAATCGCTACTGAATTTCATGGCAGTCAGCAGATGGTTTACTTTGATGGAAAATGTACCCCAATTTCCGGTAGATAACCCTTACCAGGGAAGAACATCAGGTCGGTCCGGCCATTAGCAATGAGCTGTATACCGTTGCACTCGCCTCGAGACGCTGAGCTCAAAACTGCCTTCCACTATCTGCTAAACGGTTCTTGAACGGAGTTATAAAGCAAGAAAGCGCAGCGGTAGTGCCCCGGTCTCGCAGTAAAGGTGGTGGGAACGGTTCTTCAAAAGCCTGCTTTTTTGTTTTCAATGTCAGTGTGAGAGAAAAGCTTTTAAATTCGTTAATTTACACTCCTTGCCGATGTTGCCTGTATGAAGAGTTTGCGAGCAGTTCCCACAACCTCTTGCCTGCGAGGCACTACCGCTGCGCTTCCTTGCTTTATAACTCCGTTCAAAAAATCGTTTAGCAGATCGGGAAGACAGTTTTGAGCTCAGCGTCTCGAGGCGAGTGCAAGGGTATAGAGCTCATTACAAATGGCCAGACCGGCCTAATGACCTTCCCTGTAAAGCTTGCTGTCACGCAAATAAATCGACCTCGCCGAGAGCTTGCAAATCGCCTCAACGACTCCTTATAACTTGCCCGTAGAGTAAATCGATGCCTTCATTACGAAAATGACATTCATTTTCAGCGGTGCCATCACCTGGCGCCAGTTGGCGTCACCTAGTCACGACCCTTGTTTTTTACCGAATTGTGCGTAACCTTCTACTATGAGTTATTTGGTGCCCTGATTAATGCACCACATAAATACATTCCTTTGTGGACAATGGCAATTGCCTCACCCAATTGTCCCCGATCTATCCAGTGGGAGAGCGCGAAGGAGCAGAGAATTGGCGTTATGTACGCTGGCGCTAAGAATGAATATCATATTCCTAATCGGGACCCCAAATAACCTCTAGACGGGAGTTTACACCAAATTCGGAGAAAACAGGTGTCGTTAAAAGGTGACGCCAACTGGCGCCAGGTGGCTCTCCCGCTAGAATCGAATGTCATTTTCGTAATCAGGACATCGAATCACCTCTAAGGCTGAAGTCACGGTAGCCCGTAGGTGTGCGCAAGTACACTGCACGAGTGAAGGTTATTTTACGTGAAATTGGCTAGGGCTTATCTACCGAAAACTAGGGTCATTGCCGGTTTGTCGGACAAATTTTTTGTATGTGTTGCAAATGTACATAGATAAGCTTTGTATGCAGCAAAGAGTCGAATAATAAATTGTGACAGTCTCTAGCACCGTACTTTTTTTTATCTAAATACAAACCCCTATAAGACAGACGCTCAAGGGTCAGTCCAACTTGAGAAGAAGGTCTGACTGCGAATGTCTCGTAATTTCAAGGGGATACTGTTGTCTTACAATCTCACAAACTGCTCATCACTTAGTAGGAATGTGGACCTTATGATAAAAGCAGGAGAGCATGCCTCTCGATTGCTGTCTTGAAAACGGTCACGAAGTGTTTTCGTATCAGCTCAAACTTCTTTTATCGGCAGAACCAAAAAGTTCACTCTCCTAATGATACACATAAAATTCACTTCTCTTTATATAGTGGCTGTGGTGTGTTGATGTACGATTTTGTGCGTGGTGGTCGCTCACTACCCCTTCTCCTAAGTCGTATTTTTAAAGGAAGGATTACGATAGAAACAAAAGGTCGAAGAAAGGGAAACTGACCTAGTTGAGGGACCCACGGACCTCCTGAGGGTGCGAACTGACGCGCAATTCGCATGGAAAAATTTGACCTCGGCGACCTATCATGCCTCAAAGCTGGCGGGTCCGGCGATCTCCGCCCACCGATCATCTGATCACTCGCCGTAGTTCAATACGTGGCGAGTGATTAGATAGCTGAGAGAGCGTAGTGTTGAAGAGGGCACAGCGATGAGAGTCGCATCAATGCTCGAATCAACGGGCAAGGAAGGGGTACCATTTCTCGGGTTCTGGGCCGTTTCTCATGGTTCTTCCTTCTTTCGTGTACCTCACCATCCCTAGGTTAATTTGAAATGGGTTGCTTTTTCATCGTGAATTCGTCCCTTAAAGACAACCTTTTATGTGCTTGGAGCGGCTTTTTTTACAAACTATTTATTAGGCTGATCGATAATTATGGAAATCGAGACTGATATTCCCATTATAAATCACTGATGGCAGTCGATATGACTGTATATCAGTTAATACCGTACGTGGATATGGGAACTGAAGCGCCCAAGGCGATCATAGGGAGGTCGGAAACAGGGCCAAGCACGGAAAAATCTGCAACGAAACCTATCTGACAGTCAACCATGGGGAGAACCGAGGGAATAGACCTTCAAAGTCTCCGCGACACAGTGCATCTCAGGCAGTAGCTGCCAACTGACGAGCATCATATTCTATCCATCACAAGCCAAAACACTGTTTTAAAAAAATCCCGGAGTGTGTTGAATTCATGGAAAAAACGATAATATGAAGGGTTGGCCTTCTCGAGGAAAAGAATAAAAAAAGCGTTAGTAAAGAATTGGATTTTAGGAATGAATTCGATGCATGGCAACGCGACTAATCAGAGTTGTTCTCGGTGAGCCAAAGTAGGTGCCTTTCTGACCTAACATCCACCCAGGGCCTAAGAACCAAGCAGGTAACTCTTGAATGCCTGTTGATCTGCACTAATATATCGAAAGACGTAGGGAGGAAGGCAAAATTAGGTAGGCAAATCCGAGGAGGAGATCAAAGAAGCAGAAGCACGGCGTATTTTTTGTATTTTTTGTATTATTAGTCAATACCGTATGCTGGATATGGGAACTGAATATTTTGTATTAGTGATGCCCTGTGATTCACAGGAAACAATTTTTTGTCTTAAGTCACTAGTGTAGTACTGAATCTCAGAAGAAGTGACTACCTACAACAGCTTTGTTTGCCCAGGGCCTTCCCTTCACTACTGTGGTTTTTGCGACAGCACCGCTAACAGCGGTGCATTTTACGAGGTGTTAAGAGCGAGGGAACGGGCGGTAGATAGAGGTGGTGGATGTGAAACCTTTGTAAGACGTGCGCACATATGGGCGGCCCCCTTCCTTGTTGTGATGCGCTTTGATTATTTGTGGTGCTTTCAAATACGTCCTCATGAAGGTATGGAATGGAGCGACTGAACCTGCAAAGAAAATTTAATATCATGTTTTTAGCAGTTTTCTGCCGCGCTACCCACCAGGGTGAAAATCGTGTCGAGTACGTGGTCGCATAAGTAAGTCCTCCCCAAACTCGAAATCCTGGCACGACCCCCTAAAACAGAGCAAATTAATTCAATTTATTAACCAAAAAATCCTGCAAAATAATGTTATGGACGCCTCATCTTGTCATCTGTGCACTGTCTTTCATCGCTGCACACTTTTGTGTATTTACTGAAATATCGACTCGAGGAAAGAGGCATTAACTTTGTGTGACCTCAAAGTCAGGTTCGTTCAGAAATGCACAGAAATCCTGAAGGCACGGGGTTGCGATTCAATCTTGATTCTTGCTTGAGTATATCAAAACAGCCGAGTGTATCAAAGGCCGATTCAACGGCAGCTGCGGCGCGATTGTCACTGGGTCAGATTTGCTGAAATCCCGAAAAAAAAACCGTCCGAATCTACACCCTCGATGAAAAGGTTGCATTCCTCCATTTCATAACCTTTGAAGCAGTTTGAGGTAGTTAGATAGAGCTGGATTTCGCGTTTCCAAGAAGTATTGAAATTGCTCTGAAAGCCTTCCATGCAGAAAGATAGGGTCTCTCAAATTTCGTCGAGTAAATGTCGAGGAGGCTGAAATTTTCACGCGAGTTTTTGCCACTTCAAGAGCAATATATCTCTTATATTGTAAGATCCTGAAAAAGGGAAGATAGTTTTGGAAAGCGGAAGGTTTGCGCTTCCTGATGGTCTGTTTAGTTTTCTTCTACAGCTTTTTGGTTGAAGAGATAATTGCGTCGAGGATCTATCGAGGACGGATCCGGCCACCTGGAAAATCCGCTCCCTCCTTCACCATTGCAAGTGTGATTCGTTGGCAACACTCGGAATGTGTCTAGAACGAAATCTTTCAACGCAAGCAATAAGAATAGGGGCAATCGTCATCATCCGATTTCGTATTGGTATAAGCCATGCATCCGACCTCACTCGAAGTTGCAGAATCGATTCGAAGGTGTCATATGATCATGACCAGTTGACAGAAGCTGCATTGTAGTAAACGCATTTCGTAACTCCTACAACCTGAAGAACAACTTCATTTGCCCAGGCTTTTCCTTCACGGTTGTCGTTTTTGCGACAGGTCCTCTTAACAAACAGTGGCATTCTTCTCAGCGAGGTATTAAGGGAGAAGGAGCGAGCGATAGGCAGAGGAGGTGCCTTTGCAGCGCGTGCGCACATGTGGCAGTCTTCTTTGCGGGGATGCACTTTCATTCTTTGTACTGCCTTCAAATACGCCCTTCTCATGAAGGTGGAGGAATGGAGCGACTGAACCTGCAAAGAAAATTTAATATCATGTTTTTTTTCAGATATTTTCATTTTCTGCTGCGCTATACCCTCTTACCTA